GTTGCGGGCGGTGCCTCAGTCAGGGGCAGGGGGGGCTGGAGGGCACCGGGAGGGCGAGCTGGTGTTGGGGGGCCGCTCCCGGGAAGGGAGCGAGGTGAGGGGAGCTGGGAGAGGCAGCCCCACACCAGCGCTGGAGAAACTGGGGAGCATTGGGGTGCAGCTGGCATTGAGGCAGGCCTGCCTCCACCTGCCGGCATCAAAGTTCGATGCCCTAGGCGGTCTCGATTTACTGTAATTTACAGTATGAAGTCCAAAACCCAATTAAAAACTAGCAAGCATAAACAAACACGCCATATTAAGCATTCAGAGCCGCACAGAGGAGCGAGGTAGTCTCAACATGCAGATGTTTTAATGGGCTGGGCCAACGGCAGCAGCAGCCATCCAACAGCAGCAAAGTACACTGTAAAATCCCAGATCTTATTGGTCTGAGCATGTTTTCTCATCTGTTTATTTTTGCTGCAGGAAAAAAAAAATCCTTGATTTGACGTACTTTTTTTTTTCTTTTTTCTTTCTCCCCCCTCGTCTTTCAGATTATGTCATAACTACAAGATAAACGAGCAGTGATGGAATCACTGGATACCGAGGTGAAAGCACGGAAGACTCTGGGGACTGTTGAATATGTAGAGTCTTCGGGTTTCACCCAGGGAATACTGCCAACCAAGAAGGATGTGGTTCAGAATATGCTGTATTTATTGCAGCCCAAAAGAGCTGGCCAGGCCCAGCGGTCCAAAGAGGATGCGGCCCAGTTGCTCGCTGAGCACCTGCAAGAGCACTGGTTGATTTGCAACTTGCACACCATCGCGACACAAAATATAAAGAAACTTATCCTCAAAATGTACGAGGAGTTTACCAGGTTGTATCAGACCAGAAAGCAGAGGCAGAACCAGGCTTTTACTGAGCGAGCAGACAAATTCAACGAGAGTTCGGAGAAGCTCTTTGACGTATTTTGTACAGACACGCAGACAAGAAATAAACTGGAGGAATACAGTGGAATAAAAATGACTAGTATCGAGTGGAAATTTCTTGAAGATCAAAGAAGTGAAAGAAAAATGTACTATGAAGATTTCACAGACAAGCAAGAATTGAAGATGATGGAAAGAAGACAAAAGATACAGTGTCTGGAGCAGTTCAGAAAACTCGCCAAGGAGGAGAAGGAAGGAAACAAAGCAAAGGAAACTAAATATAAAAGTGATGAGCAATCGGACGAAGGCACAAGTGTGGATGAATCCTACCCTGCGGAGGAGGAGAACGGTGGGGCTCCGGCCTTTTCACTGCGGGGCAGGAGGAAGCGCCGGTGCACCATGACTCCCGCCAGCGCTGCCATGCCCCTGGAGTGCCAGCATATACGGATGAGCATCAGGAGAGTTAGGCCTGGGTTCTACGAGACTGTGGAGAAGGTCAAAAACTGCTAGCGCATGCCACAGTCAGCAGGCAGAGCTGCTGGAGTATGAGGTGGCAATGCACACGTTAGGCAAGTTTGAAATCCCACCATCAGTCAGAAGCGATTGTTGTACATCCCCAAGCCAGAGCTCAGGAACATCCTGCTTCCGGGGAAGAGCACTGGGACAACAACAACAGCGGCAAGGACTAAAACACGTGAATTTGGAAGGATAAGCAGTCAGCGGCTAGTGATGCAAAGGCTCAAACATAGCAGATGATCCAAGGTTATGTAGCACATACACCTCTTCTTCCACGGTCCTGTCTACATCAGTGGGTTTTTGGAAGTCTCTGACCATTTCTGAGCCAGTGGTGGCCTAACAGCACGAAACAGGACTTGGGTTTACTGCAGGGAAATAACTTGGACTTGTTGCTAATAGAAAATTTGTGTGCTCAAGAGCCCTGACTCCTGCTGGTTTCGGTGGGAGTCAAAGGTGCTCGGCCCCTTTCAGCAGAATTTGGCATTTCTGTGAGGAAGGAAGCTGGTTTTCAGCTTGTATTACCCAGCCCCAGAGAGGCACCCTGCGGTTTTGTGAAGGGATTGCTCTCTTGCTTGAGGAGGGGAAGAAAAAGATCAGGAGACATTTGAGTGCTTTGGCTGTAAAAGCATTGTTGATTCTGAATGTTTTATTCTAGATTCTATTTTAATGACATTTCCTTGATCAGGATAAACCCTCCCATAATTGGATGAGTTTGAACACAAAGTCCCTAATTTAGGATCTGTGGTGTGAATCCTAAACGACGTGGTAATGTTTTATCTTCGGGGAGGGGGGTGGGGGGAGTAAGATAGGGGGAAGGATGCAAATTGCATTATTTAGTTTTAAGATGTGAAGAATTTTGTAAACTGTTATCCTGCCTCCTTAGGATATAGGGAAGAAAAAGCCTTCCCAGGTGTGGGTAGCTGTGGTCTTTACAGCAAAAGACACCTGACTCTGGGCTTGCTTCTCCACCCCCCAAAGCCTGTGCAGACCAGCAGGGTGGAAATGGTAGTTTTCCACCCAGAGTTTGTTTGAACAACGCGTAACCCCCTTGCCCACATACATCTTGAGCAGTGACATGTCTGTGATTTTTAGATGCCTGCAGTACAAGAGTATCTGCCGGTTTTAGTGTTGCTTTACTGTTTTTTTTTTTAAGAGGAGAGACTTGAACTTTCAGTGAAACCCAGTGCTGGAGGTCTCTCTGATGAAATTCCCAAACCTTGCCAGACTATACTGAAAATTAAACCACACACCCCCCCCCAAGTGTCTTACTTGTTCTCTGGGAGAAAGAGTGCAAACTTGCCTGGTTTTCAAATTTACCTTTCAGTGTGAATGTTGGTTTCCCTACTCCAGTATCTCAGCTTTTCCCCTTTTTTCTTCTCCGTCCTGCACATCATTTTTACTGACATTAACTCGTGCTGTTTCATTCTTTGGCTTTTGCTCCCTTTAACAATAAATGCATGTACAAATAATTTTGACAGTTCTTTTACTTTTGATGAATCAATTCTTGGACTGCTTTGAAGTCCTATGCCAAAGGAGGAATGAAACGCAGATTCGCTGCTGGTCCAACTGGGACACAGCAGAGGTAGCAAGCGCAAGAGGCGGCGGCAGCCCTGGCCTTGCTGCTCAGGCAGGCTCCGGCATACCTCCGCTCCGTCACTCTGCCTACGGACGGATCCGTCCGGCTCCAAGCGATGCATCGGCTTCCCAGTGACCTTGCTCATTAGTAATTGCTGGGATCCTTATTCTGTGTCTCTGAGAAGTTCTTCATGGTAAGTTGCTCCAAAATACTTAGTGAACTCGGTGTATTCCGTGTCACTTGTAGCGTTGTTACAGGTTTAACAGCACGCATCCACGTTCGGCAACACCCTTCAGCCTCCGCTGCTTGAGAGTTTGCAGCCCTCTCTCTCCTCCTCTCTGGCGTGCTTCACTGACTTCCCCATGCAAATTATGTCACGTTTAAACTATTTGCCTTCCAGCCCTGAGGTGCTGGACTTGAGCCTCTCACTGGGCTTTTACACCAGCAGCTCTGTTTCAGCAGGGAATATAGCCAAGCTCGGACCTCGCCGAAGTAGAATTTTTTTAATAACTGCTGTAAAACCCCCTTTGTATTACAAATATAGCTGACAGTATAAATGCTCGTGTGTAAAGCAAATCCACCAGGGCTGACTCAAATTATGGAACACAGCTGTATCGTGCTTTATGATTTTCAGGGATTCAGGGAATTTAAGGTTGTCGAATCAGACTTCCTGTATACCACAGGGAATCACATTTCATTCAGAAGCCCCACACTCGGCCTGCTGGTTTCAGTTTAACTGACGTGTCTTACAGAAAATGAAGCTGAAGACATCAGAAGTCCGCTGTCTTCCTCAGTTACACGCTTAGTGGTTTGTCACCTTTGCTGTTTTAAGAAAAAAAAAAAAAAAAAAGTCCGACCATCTTCTAGGCTGTGATTCATTTCATGACATCTTGTACAGGCTGAGCAGTGTTTATTGCATTTAAATCATATTTGTTTTTTTAACTGGGTTTGACTGTGGATAGAGCCAAAGCCTGGCTCTGTTTCTGCTGCAACAGGGGGAAAATTTCTAAATGATGTATTCTTATTACTTTTCTTTGGGACCATGGTGCCTTTTTAATCAGGACAGTAAATCTTGTCCCAGGATTCTGTACTTTTGTACGTTAACAGTTGTTGACTTTCCTTTTTTGGTGTGTCCCAAATAAATTAATATAATATACCTCTGGGCTTCTGTTCCTTCTTTCAAATCGGGGAGGAAAGAGGAAACTGAAGCTAAAATAAATCTTCTCACCTCCAGCTTTCCCTCCCAGGCTTTTCCAGGCGCAGCTGTGAAGCGTGCAGGTGGACCCCCTCTCATCCAGACCCTGTGGGGCAGCGGTAGGGAAGCTGCTAGAAATGGGAGTCTAGGATCAGGGCTCCACCTGGAGTCCCCTTTTTTTTACCAAAACCGCTGAAGCCTGGAGCAGCTGAAGGTAAGGGCAGAGGGATGAAACCTCCGCACATGGTGGTGGGATTTTACTTGGTCTTTTGGTGTGCTTCAGGTGTGGGGAGATGGCTGTTGGAGGCAAGGGAGGAGCACCCAGCCTTCCTGGGCTGATCCCACAGGTGGGTGCCCCACTTCTGCCCAATCTCTCTTGACTGTGATTCAGAGACCTGTTGTATGAGGTGACCACAGGGCAGGTGGCATCCGAGAGAGACACAGGGCGATGGTTCACACCACGGGACCTCGGTGTAGAAGGGAAATGGGAAAGAAAATGCTGGAGAGGGTGCGTTTGCTTCAACAGCTTTTTGTGGGAGGAAGGAATCGAGGTGCATCCTAAGGGCTACAAACGCTTTAGATGGATGCAGAGTTGGTGATTTAACTGGGTGTTTGTGGAGAAACAATCTTCAGCCTTCACAGTCAGATCTGAGCTCAAATTGAGCTCACCTACCATGAACCTTTCGCTCCAATTTCTGCAAGGGGAGCAATAGAAAAGAGAGGGCATGCCGAAACCTGAGCATGGCCAGGCTCCTCTGCACCCCAGCCTTGGGCCCTCGCAGCCAGGCAGGGCTCGTGCCAGCCCCAGGCAGGGTTTTGCACCCCTCTGCAAGCAAAAGCTGACTTTTCACAGCCCTTACAGGCACCTTACAGCTGCCGAGGTCTGCTCTAAGTGAGGTCGTACTTAAATACCTGTCTGATCTCCCAGGACATACATGCCTCTTCACGTAGCACCTGGCAGCTGCTGCTCTGCCCCCTGCGTAGCGTCTCAGAAAGGGGAAGGAACGCAAGAAGAACAACCCGAAATGCAAATCATTGCACTACTGAGCAAGCTGGATGTGGAAAACAATCTGTCCATGATTCAGAGCACAGAAACAGTCACAAAGTTGGAATTGAAAACAAGCCCGAGCCCAGTGCTGCAGGCACATGGCTGGTGGCTGCGTTGAGGGGGGGGGGGCCCACCCCCGGGCTGCCCCTGCAGCAAGCACTGGAGCCTTGTCCTGGAGGTGCCAGACAGCTTAACGCAGGGTGACGGTGACAAATTGTGGCTCTGCAGGTGGGATACTGGGGTGAAAATGGGAAGGGAGGAACAGACCTGTGAAATGGTGTCATGAATGTGCTTGTGCTCAGCACCTGTGGCTGGGCTGCGGGGAGGCTCCCCTCCCAGGAGGAGAGATGAACCTCCTGTTTTGCCTGACACCTGTGTTTTGTCCCCTGGGTGGGCGCATCAGACAAGCAGTGGTGAAGCCGTCCCCACCACGGCAGCGCTGGACACCATAATCCCAGCGTTGGGCACAGCAACCCGGCATGGTGCCTGCCAAACCCCCATCCCACAGCTCCTGGTGCTTCCACAGGAAAAGTCACCCCAAATCCTGAAAGCAGCTTCAGGGTGAGTGTTTCCGTGGGTAAACACATCAATTTATTAACCAGAAATGTATGAGGGTATTTCCTGCTCTCGCAGAGGGTGTTGTCTTGTTATTCGTCCCGAGTTTCTGGACAGCAGCCGCCTCCTCTTGGCATGGCTTTGGAGCCAGCGGATGCTGCTTCAGGCTTTTAGGATTTGCTGGTAACTGTCCCTACCCATATCGCCTTGCTCCGTGTAATGGAGCATCCCCTCTTACACCCCTTTCCCATCCCACTCAGGTTGGGTTTTGCCGTATGGTGGGCATGAGGCACTGCCCTGCGGTGTGGGGATGGTTGTGCCAGGCCACAGCACTCCCGGATGAGCCTTCTGGGCAGCGGGGACACACCTCTGGAGGGAGAGAGGCTGGAAAATAATCCCAGGGAAATCCCAAATGTTTGGGAAGAGGGATGGGCATTTTAGGGCTTTCTCTTGTCCGGATGCCTGGTACAGAGCAGCCAGACCCCCAGACTTTTATATGCTAGATGCTCCCAAGGAGCCAGTTTCTCCTGGCTCCAAGTTTTTTTACTTTTGTGTATTTCCAGTGAAATCACTTTATTGCCCAACTTCTCAGAGTGGGTGATGACAGAGGCGCAGGCAGCGCCTGCCCGGGTAATCCCAGGCTGGCTCATCAGGCTGCCGTCACTCTGGCAGGCTGGAGGGCAGCAGTGCAGTGCTTTAAGCGGGCTGTTCGCTTGTTCAGCATCCATAACTGTACCCAAACACATGTTTGCAGAGTTTCTTTGGTGTCAGTGCTTTCCCGCTGGCCCGCAGAAGGGGGTTTGCAGGTAGGCAGGGCAAATATTCCCATTTTTTCTCGCAGGCCCGCAGAAGGGGGTTTGCAGGTAGCCAGGGCAAATATTCCCATTTTCCCCCGCTGTCAAGGTGTTAGTTCCCACGTGCTCCTGCAGCTGAGTTTCTGGATGAGAGAAGCAGGTGCTGCGGAAAGTCCAGAAATTTTGGGGTGACGCCTGGCTGACTGTGGGGACAAGAGAGACAGGGGCCCCTGCGCCAGCACCCCTGGCTGACCCCTTTCTCCCCAGCCGTGGTCACCACGGGGTTGGGTGTTCTTCACCAGCAGTGGCAGCTAACATCATGCTGGCTGTTGATGCCCCAGGCTGGGGAGCAGCCTGACCCCCAATCGGGACTGGGGACGCAGTGGTACTGCAGGGGCAAGCCCAGTCACGCTGCAAGGACAGCCAGCAGCGGGAGGGGTGATCTCAGGTTACGTGGCCTTGTACAGAAATGAGTGGAGCTGCAGGCTCCTGACGAGGTTCCTGCTGTTGGCGGCCAGGGCTTATTAAAGGGGAGCGTCGGGGCAGGCTGCTTGGTCCTGGTGGTGTCCCCGCAGCATGGCAGGACCAGGGAGTGAGGGGGACCTGCGGCACCTGCTAAAGCTGCACTGCACCGAGATTGCCATGGCAGTGGACGACGTCTTCCCGCTGCTGCACGGCCTGGCCGACCACGATGTCGTCCCTGAGCACATCTTCAAGGTGAGGCTGCAGGGTAGGAGAGGATGTCCATGCCGCAGGGACTGGGGCCGGCTGGTGGCACTGGGACATGTGCCGATGGGCCATGGTGGCACTGGCAGGAGACACTGAGCCGGACGGAGCGGGAGGGCTCCCACCGTGCTTTCCATGCACTGCTCACCTGGCTACTGGGCCGTGACACTGCCACTGTCCGTGACTTCTGGACCGTCCTCTTCAAGGATTACAACCTGGAGCGGTACACCCGGCTCCGGCCCCTCCGCGGTGTCTTCCCCAGAGGTAGGAGGGGGACGGATGGGGGGGGACTGGCACCCCCATGGGCTGCCGGCAGGCAGGGGTGATGCCTGGGGCCAGTGGTGCCTGTCCCTGTCCCCTTTGCAGA